AGAGAGAGAGAGAGAGAGAGAGAGAGAGAGAGAGAGAGAGAGAGAGAGAGAGAGAGAGAGAGAGAGAGAGAGAGAGAGAGAGAGAGAGAGAGAGAGAGAGAGAGAGAGAGAGAGAGAGAGAGAGAGAGAGAGAGAGAGAGAGACCTACTTCAGCATGTAGTCCAATAGTATACTAGAGAGAGAGCGAGACCTACTCTGCAGAATTACTAGACATATCTATACTATACTCGTTATTCAATAGTATAGTATTCGTTGATTGAATATAGTACGCCGATTAATTATTACCAACCTATTTCATTTACAAGTTTAGAAGAACACACAAGGACTTGAGTGACCCCAATTTTCTATACTATAAACAATTTTCTATAGCCTGCTGAATATCCTTTTCAAATTGAAGCCAGGAACACACGAAATGTAGATCCATTTAGTAACGCAAATCTCCAACGTTCTATACTATAAACAAATATCTATTGACAACTCATTATACTCTATACACATCTATACATGTTAACACGTCTATTAACATATATACACATCCATACAAGCTACCACATCTATATTATCCTAGTTTTTCAATAGTATAGTTTTTCTATGTTATACATAGTACCCATTTTCCATGTGCAATTGAAGGGTAGTATAGGTAATAAAGAAACAAAACAACAACCATAACCTAACTAAGGCCTTAATATGGTTAGATAGTGTTTTTGTTGAGTTACTATGAATATTGGGCCAAATTTCTCTTTAATTTATGTATCACTTTTACTTTTTTTATTACAGATTTACAGATCGAAAAAATCGATACAAACTTATCTACTTTCACTCTTTTCGCTTCCCATATATGTGAAGAAGCGGAGATACATCCGAAGTGGAGAAGAATCTGTGGCAGATCTTATTTCATCATTACCATCAGATCACCTTCTTGGAGCTGCAAAGATAGTTTGACCAGTTTGAGCTTCTCCGATGCGGCTCTCCTTCGTGGCAAAAGCTCGATGAACAACAATGGTCATTTATGATTTTATTTCACAAATGGCCCCTCGATTTTTAATATATTCATCATTGAAAATATATCTCTTTCAGATTAACTCCTCACTTTTTAATTGCACATACCATACCTTAGTGTATCTCAAATTCATATAACATGTATCTCAAACATATATGCACATTAGAAAGATAGTTGTTGTCTATACAATGTGATTTTGTACATTTCATGCCTTGTGTAAGTGTATATTGAAATGCACATTAGTTTGCTGAATAAAAAACATAAATGTATATACTAACCTACAACTTAAAAGAATGTGTCTAAATAATCTATTTCTCAACTATCAAATAACAATAAATTTGCCCAAACTATATTTGTTTGAACTTTGTGTTTGCCTACAAAGATTTTTTTCCTTTAGATCATGTCTCGCATGTACACTAAAATTATGTACACACGCAATATCTTTGTGTACACAAACATGATACACACAAATAAAACACAAGGATATATCTTGTTTGTGTACACAAAGATATTGTGTGTGTACATAATTCTAGTGGACATGTGAGATATGTGAAAAAGAAGAAAAAAAATCTTTACAGGTTGAGAACATAGATCATGGATGTGTGGTTTGAACTGAGTACTTTTCATGTTTGTTAATAATGCTTATTTTATTAATATTATATGTGTTGATAATAGTTTTTG